GCTTTTATAACTGTAGCCGAACACTGCTACAGTGAAGAAGAATCATTAACTGAACACTTCGGCAGAAACCTAGTGTCCACCTCCAGGATCTTCCAGACAACTCACTGGCTCCTGTTGTCAGTCTTTGCGTGACTACTAGACATAGGAGTTGGACACTCCCAGAAAGTATTAGTTTTTCAGAGTACAACCAGTTAGCGGCATAGAAGATGTGTGCAGTCTGTCTTCTCATTTTACCAGGAGACTACAGAGAATTATTCAACATGAAGGTATCCACAGAACATTTGTTATTTAACTCTGACATTAATCGAGACACTGACAGAGTGGGAACCCGGTTCTTTCATCTAATTAGTGGATGGCGGAATGTCCGAGCATTTTTGTAAGTAATGCTTTGTCTATAAAAGTAACTCTGCCCAATACAAATTTTCTTTTTTGGGAGGGAGCCTGAAATTGAAAATTTGCCTTTAACCACTTCCTTCCCAGGACTATTTTGACACTTCTCAATAAATGTAAAAATCTGTTTTTTTTCTAGAAAATTACTTAGAACCCCAGAACATTATATATTTTTTTTAACCACTTGCCTACCAGGCACTTTTACCCCCTTCCTGCTCTGGCCAATTTTCAGCTTTCAGCGCTGTTGCACTTTGAATGACAGTTGCGCGGTCATGCAACACTGTACCCATATGACATTTTTATAATTTTTTTCACACAAATAGAACTTTCTTTTGGTGGTATTTAATCACCACTGTTTTTTTATTTATTGCACTATAAATAAAAAAAGAGCAAAACAAAAAAAAAGTTTTTCTTTGTTTCTCTTATAAAATTTTGCAAACAGGTAAATTTTCTCCTTCACTGATGTGCGTTGATGCGGCACCACTGATAAGCAGCACTGATGAGGAGGCACTGATATGCAGCAATGATGGGCACTGATAGGCAGCACTGATCAGTGCCCTAATTATCAGTGCAGATCTGCTTTGTGACATTTGCCAGTTATCGGCAATACTTTCCTCACGCTGTGACAGCGTGAGGTAAGTGCTGCCGATAGATGGCAACTGTATTTACTTTGTGATCAGCTGTGTCATTGGACTCAGCAGATCACGTGGTAAAATGCCTCTGTGATTGGCCTTTTACCTAGTCATGTGATCAGATGTGTCCATAGGCACTGACAGCACCGGGTGCGCACCGCTGCGGGCGAATTCTGGGAGGACATCATATGATGCCCTCCCAGAACTAGGCAACCGTGCTGTAGCCTTCTTTCGGCTATAGTGTGGTTGTACAGTGGTTAAAGCAGCGGCCCTAGAGAAAAAAATAGTGGGAGTTGCAATTTTTTTATGTCACATGGTATTTGCGCATCGGTCTTGCAAAAGCAATTTTTTTTTGGGAATACCAAACATGTCACACTTTAAAATTGCACACTCCCATGGAATGGCGAGACAGACTACAGTACTTAAAAATCTCCATAGTGGACACCTTTAAAAGCCTTTACCAGTTACCACAGGAGCTCTGGTGCTAGAGTTCTTGCTCTCCCTATAACATTCGCAGTGGTACACATATGTGGTGTGAACACCATTTACATATGCCTGTATGACCCACTTACGTTTTCGCCTTTGCGCACGAGCATGGGGGGACAGGGGCCCTTTAATATTTTTTTATTTCTCTCACACGGGATGAACATCCCTTGTGATAGCATGGGTAGTGACAGGTTCTGTTTATTGAGACATTGGGGTCTATTAGACCCCAGATCTCTCTTCTGCCCTTAAAAGCATCAGATCAAACCCAGATTGGTTTGATTTGATGCTTTCGCACTTCGGTAATGGTCTGTTTACATTAGAACAAAAATTAAAGTGACAAAGTTCCTCATCGTTTTTGGTTTCTTAGACTATAGAGATGATCGGGAACGTTCTGCCAGCTTCCATCCTGGGCCCAGGAAGATGTGGGAGGGGGGGGGCCGCCTTCTGCCATCCTCCATCGCCAGCGGAAAAAAAAAAGATGGGATGAATCCTGTAGCTACAGCTATCATTCGGTTATAATCACTTCAACCAGAGGACGTATGAGTATGTCCTTTTGGGGGAAGGGGTTAAAGGGGAACTAAATTGTATCTGAGTTCAATAATGAAAATGCTGGTAAATTCATTTTTAATATTCAGAGCAAACTCTTCCATCCATCCTTGTCTCCATGCTTTATTTTGTTGAGAGATCACTTTGAAAAACTTCCCTTTCGCATTTCATGCTGTGTCCATCTTGAGTAAGGGCAGAGTATTCATATAGCATTTACTTCCTGGAATCCATCTGCCCTTAGCTCATGCTTGCAGGTGTAAAAACAGAATGCAGTGATCTGTAAATCTCATCAACCCATATTTTATTCATGATAGAAAATAGATCAAATGTTTAAACCACGAAATTCAATTTTGAAATTGACGGCAGCAACATGTCTCAAAAAAGTTGGGTCAGAGTCATGTTTACCCCGGTGTAGCATCCCCTCTTCTTTTAACACAACACTCTGTAAATGTGTGGGAACTGAGGGGACCGGTTGCTGGAGTTTTTGGAGATGAATGTTGTACCATTCTTGCCTAATACAGGATTCTAACTGTTCAACAGTCTTGGGTTTTTTTTATATTCAGACCTGCTGGGCAATTTATTTATGTATTTTTCACAAATATGTGGAATGAGGCTTAATTATAACACCGTGCTTTAGATGTTTTCTGAGAGTATCACTCTAAAGAGGAAAGCCAGATGGATATAAAAGACACAAATTAAAGCGGCTCTGTATTCATAAATTATACATTACATTTATTAAATGCAAGCAGTGTAATTACCTATATTTCACTTGACATTAACCTACTGCAGTCCACTGTACAGCCGAATTTAGACTGGGAGAGGGAGAAGCAACTCAGTATGCCAATCATTTGTGCCGCAGTGTTTATGTGCTAATGAGGAGCATGCTGATTTGAGAGAGCAGAGGGGCAGAGAGGTGAGCTCATCAATCTGCTGCTGCACCATTTTAAAACAGCATTCTGTTTACTAATTGTACATGTGCAGAAACCCTGTGATGCCCTGTTATTAGGTGACACAGACCACAGGCACAATGCACAGAGCCAATCAAAGTGGCTCGGTGCCTTTTGATCACTGTGATGGCCAAATCTGACAGCACTCTTTCCTTTCACAACAGAGGGAAGGCAGGAAGAAGGATTTCATGAAGGGTAGGTAGCAGAAGATTTGGGTCAATCGTTTATTTATGGGATCAATTTTTAACCCTTTCACACACCACCCCCTCCATTCCTGCACATCTTATATCAAGCCTGCCTTTGTATTAACTCCTCACTCCCCTTATCCTGTACATTAACCCCTTCATCTCCATTATCCTACAGTATGTGACCTGTACATTAACCCCTTCACCTCTTCTTCCCTCTGTGTATGACCTGTTCATTATTGATACTCTCTATCCAGGGCTATATTACCAAACTCCCATGCTATTAACTCCTTCAATACCAGCATGTTTCTTAATTTCCAAAATTTGTTGCAAAAATAGGAGATTCACTTAGGGTGTCTACTTTCCCAAAGTGGTATTTTAGGGGGCGTATGTACTCTCCCGGCATAAGTTTTATAACAGAAAGTAAGGTGAATCGATTTTTTTTTTCTAATAAAAATACATAAATAATGTGTTCTGATCTGAAGAAGGGCGTTAACATAATAGCCCGTTTGTTGAACACTATGATGTATGGCTTTGTCCATTTTTTTTTTTGGATCACTCTTTTGTATGGTGATTTTTCAACAATAAAAGTTTATGTGCGGCAATCCAATTTTCTTTTTTCTATATATGGCCTTTGGGAGGGCCTGACTGCTATGCACTGTGATTGATCACCGATGTGCACTCCACCTATATTACTGATAGATAGATAGATAGATAGATAGATAGATAGAAGGTAAAAACAATTATGATTCATGTGGTTATAGTGTTGCATGATGGAGTAATTGTCAGTCAGACTATCATCCCATTCCACTTAACAATGGCCTTATATTGCTGGTTCTCCAGTGGCAAAGGGATACTGAACTGCAGCAATGAAAAGCCAGGTCTCCTGCTCTATCAGTCGTAACTGTGATATGTGTCAGAGCTGTGTAAATTATAGGAGTGGGTGGACCGAAAAACAAATCCTTCAGCAGGTAGAATAACCAATGTATGTGTTTCATTGGTGCCTTTAGCTGTTTGATATTGCTTTAATATGTGCTGTTTTATATGAAGAAATTAACATTTAATAATGCAGCACCGTGGCTTAGTGGTTAGAACTTCTGCCTTGTAGCACTGGGGTCCTCGGTTCGAATCCTGGCCAGGACATTATCTGCATGGAGTTTGCATGACAGACATGTTAATTGGCTCCTTGGGTTGTGTGTGCATATGAGATTGGACATTAGATTGTAAGCTCCTTGAGGACAGGAACTGATCAGTTTGAATCCTGGCCAGGACATTGTCTGCATGGAGTTTGCATGACAGACATGTTAATTGGCTCCTTGGGTTGTGTATGCATATGAGATTGGACATTAGATTGTAAGCTCCTTGAGGACAGGAACTGATGGGAATATACAATGTTTAAAGTGCTGTGCAGATTATTGGTGCTATAACAAACAAAAAAGGAAATTGCACTTTTTTATTTTTAAAAGCTTAAGAAAAGCCTATTAATGCTTCACAACCACATTTAAAGAGAAATCTCAAACTTTTTTTTTTTGACACTAGAAAACTTTGTCGATTTATTGTAACATAAAAGCACTGCACATCTGAGATGTATAGAAATAAAGATTAGGTCTGTATATTGCTCAAACCAGAGGAGCCGTCCTACCGTGTAAGTAATGTGTGTTCTGTACATAGGTATCGGGCCGGTCACGGAAGGCCACATAGGTGTTCAGGAGTATGCTGCAGCTATCACATCCCGTAATGTGGTTTTCAGCATGACCTTAATGTGTTACTTGTAGAAGACTGACAGCTCATTGTTTCCTTTTAACCAACGACAGGCTCCAAAAATGAAGCGGCTTTTGTAACCAGCGTTCGAGAGGAGAAGGAAAATCAGAGCCAGAGTGATGGGGATAATGAGCCTGTCGAGTGTGCTCAGCGGGAGTCGCCCCCCTCTCTGCCGAGCGACTTAAAGGGGGATCATTTACCAAACATCCAAAACAAGAACTTGGAAGGCCACCCTGGGGAGAACTCAACAGCCACTGAACCAGGTAACGTTCATCGAATGCTCCCCTCCATGACCAACACCGCTGACTGTTTAATCGACATGGAGATTTGCTATTGGATGGAGAGGAAGTTGGCTCGGCCTGGGGAGTTAGTTTTCAATGTTCTTCTGTTTGTTTAATTAACCTTTTTATAATGTCTTTTTATCACCACTTGATGCCACGGGTTTTTGCATCCCATCAGGTAAGCCATTCCGGGACGACTCTAGACTTTAATAATGTGCCAGGAGAGGTTCGGCTAATCCAGCTCTCGGACTAAGCGGGAGAATTGCGGCTGTTTATGGGCCTACTCTTTATAGCAGTGGATTTATTTCTTAACTCTTGTTAGTCCTGGCGTTTCTTCTGCTTCTTCCCTGCGGCTTTGTCTATCTTTATTCTGACAGTATTGCCTCAGTCTTCTCTCTGCGGTCTCATCACTTTCTCTATAAGCTCTCTTCTGTTGCCCGCTGTGGTCTTCATGTCTCCATTCACTTTGTTGTGTTCCTACTGCGTTTCAATGTTACTGCATATCCAGCATGTTGCCATATTGTTCACGGTGTAGTCATAGGAGCCTTTCTTTCCAAAGGCTGTTTTGGCATAAAAAGTCTTTCAAGGAAGGGCAGTACTTGTTGCTTGTAAACAGGATAGTAACGTCTCAGCTATGTGGTTTTCACTTCACCCTGACTTCCCAATGCTCAGATAGCAGTCCTCAGGAGCACAATTAGGAGACTGAGAGTGTTGTCACCCTTCAACAGGAAGTGTCCGAACTAGGATGTTTAGGGCAGGATCACCATATATATATATATATATATATATATATATATATATATATATATATAAAAAGCTGCAGATATAAAATGATCGACTATGACTTTTATAAATTAATGTAACGTGTTAAATTTTTTTGAAACATTAATGAAGCTTGGCAAATGTCTTGTGGCCTTCGTGAGGACTTTAGCTTCTGTAAGAGCAGCGTGAACAGCAAGCTTTTACAAAGCATTTGCAGAGCTTTCAGAAAACTTTGTTGCAGCTCTCAAAGTACCATTCAGCTCTTGTTTGTAAATGTTGAACACAGATCCTAATAGGAGTACTGAGTGCCACCGTAAACAAGCTGCTAGGAGGCTTCAGCACTATTTGAAGTTTTTTGAAAGCCTTCTGAAGCCTGCTAGCAGCTTTTTAAAAGTGACAATCAACACCCCCATGAAATCTGTGTATAATGTTTTAAAACATTATACACAAAGGGCGTTTTTTAAGGGCTTAGAGAAAGCTGCTCAAAGCTTGCCAAAAGCTTTGCAAAATCTTGCAGTTCACACTGCTCTTATACAAGCTGAATCCAATGTGAAAAAGGACCTTCTGCTGCAGGTGTAGTTAGGGAGCGCTGTGATAGACAACTATGGAGGCTTTGGGGATACGGTGACACACCAAGCAAGTGAAATGGGGTATAATTTATAAAGCAAAGCAGTGCAAATTCAGCAGTGTTTACAGGACTGTAAGGTAACAATTTCATTTAGTGAAAGGTGCTTTGATTGGCAATCAGAGTGTTTCAAAAACGAGGGTCAAATGCCATATTTTAAAGCAAGTGTAAGCAAGGCCATAATGTAAGCAAGCTTCTTTGGTGTAAGAAAGAGATGATACTTCTGTAGAGATTTTTTATAGTTTCCTTTGACTTATTTTTGGTTGCGGGAGCCTGTAAACCATTACACCACTGATCAGCAGATGCTGGTGCCATGCAGATCTCACGCAGACCTGTCAGTATGCCTGCTTGCCTGTACAGGAAAGAAGATATACTGATGGGAAGAATCACTGAATTACCATGGTGCTCCACAGCGCCGTGGTAGTTCATTGAGAACTACAAGCAGACCGGCGCTAAGGCTGTCGGGACTTGCAGTTCATTCATTTACAGAACTCTGTGAATGACTGATGTGGCCATGTGGGCAGAGCCCCGCACGGCTGTGCTCTAGTCAAAAAGTGACAGCTAGTACAGGGAACTTACCCCCATATGTCTGTCACGGGGAGGGAGGGGGTGGAGTGGTGTGGCAGGCGACGGCTACATCTCTAGGAACATATTACATATTTCACCCTAAAAGCGGGTGGAACATGTAGCATGTTCCCATAGGTGAACTTATCCTTTAAAGTTCAAGTTAAGTGGGGATTTAATGCTAAAGTTTTTAGGTATGAATTTTATGGAACAGTTCCATTGGTCCAGCTTGAACCATTGTAAGATTGCGTATCTCATATCTGAGTGATCCCTGTGGAAGCTGCTACTACAGTGATCTTAGCAGTCTTCTAGGTCCCGTGCCAAGCAGATGACCTTCTGCAGAAAACCCACAGTTGGTCGCTTGCTCGGCTTAGCTGACATTTACAAAAAGTCTTCTTTTTTTTTTTCAATGAATGCAAGGCCTTCACTGACAGGATGAGGTGGGGATCATGATGTCACCACCCTGCCTTTCCACCTTATCCAATCAGAGAATGCACTGGACCCTGAAAACTGCTGCTATTGCTGTAGTAGCAGGGACTACTACAGTGATTTGTAGCTTCCACGATGATCGCTCAAGCATGATATATACAGTACATGCTAACATTGGTCCAAGCTGGACCAATGTAAATATGCAAAAAGAAAGTTCATACCTAAACTTCAACTTGAAATATTAGAGCACTGCAGTCGCTGACTCTCCATTTACCCCTGTACTCTAGGGATTTCCTTTCCTGCTATATCTCACTTTTCTCCAACTCTTTTGGCATGTTTTTTCATTTACTCCTTTTATTGTTTGCTATATTTATTTTTCACGATCCCAATAATCTTTCCTTGTTCTAACTTTCTCACTTTACTTATGGCTTTCACCATCTCATATCTCATTGGATGAGATTTACTAAATCTGGTGCAGCTGTGCATGGTAGCCAGTCAGCTTCTAACTTCAGATTGTTCAATTTAAGCTTTGACAATAAAACCTGGAAGCTGATTGGTTTCTATGCAGAGCTGCACCAGATTTTGCATTCTCCAATTTTAATAAATCAACCCCATTATCTCCTACTTCTTTCTTTCCTGTTTACATCCACCTGAACATTTCATCTCCTTTTCCCTCTCACTTTCCCCCAACCCCTTTTGCATTTTTGATATGTTTCTTTTTTCCTGATCCCAATAATCTTTCCTTGTTATATTTGTTTCACTTTCTTTATGGCTTCTCGCCATCTCATATCTAGTTCTCTCCTACTTTTTTTTTTTTACCTCTCTACATCCACCTGAGCATTTCATCTCCTTTTCATCTCTCTTTCCCCCAACCTCTTTCCTCACCTCGTATATCTCCCAGTAAACTTTTCTTTTCCCTGGTGGCTGCCTGCCTTATAAACAACATTCCAAATCCATACTCACTGTCCTACATATTGTGCTTCATTGCAGAGCATTGTCACAGCTCCACTGCCCTACCAGCGTATGATGGATTAATGTTCTGTGCCAGCAGGCACACGGACCGCATCTATTTATATAGCAAGGTATGTACACATGGAAGAGGCTCGCAGATTAGAAGGAAATAAAATAAGACGTCCGGAGGAGAGCTGCTTATTGTCTCACTGATATTTGAGCAGCTCCGGTGCCAGCTGGGATTGCAGTTTATTGAATTAAAAAGCCATATTGTCTTCTCTGCCAGAGAGGAGATTAACGGCAAGCTCTCAGCGGTCTGTCCGCAACACTTTGATTGCGAGCTCTCAATTCTACCCAGACCCGCCGAACACATCTGGGGCTCCGCATTCACTCTCTGTAACCTTATATCAACCCCGGGCAGCGTTTCATGAGGGGAGAGATGTTTCTAAATAAAGCTCGCTCATACTTGTACATACTGCAGTGAAGAAAATAAATTTGTATTGCTGATTGCTACTGTTAGGACTCTGCTTGTCAATCCTTTTTGCACTATAAAAGTGATATCTTTAATTTGATTTCTTCAAGAATTAATAAATTTAAAAGAGAAGTATGTGGTTCTTTAAGAAAAACAAATACTGACCTAGGTGGATGGAGCATTGGTGCAATGCTGTATCTGTCCCCCGTTGCTTCTAAGACTGGGAACTGAGTGATAGAACACAGTCTTCAGTGAGCAGAGAGCCGGCGACAGTCACCAGCCCTCTGTTCTGCCCCTCCAGCGCTCCCTGTAGCGCCGGGCTGTAGAGGGGGCAGGAGGTGGCTAGCTCAGGCTCGCAGCGGTTTGAGATTGAGCCTACTGCCAGTCCAGGCATCTGGGTGGATCCTGACTTTAAAGTTGAGATCTTTTCAGAGCCTGGACCGACAGAGTGACATCATCCGACAGTGGGATTTAGCCTGCTGTTGGCTGAAAACGGGCCACAGGAGTGCAGAACGAATAACATTTCTGGGATCCATAGGTGAAGTAGGGACAAAAAATCTTTGGCCCTACTTCTCTTTTAAGAGCAGCAAAGCCTAAATCACAGTTGTCTGTTTTTGTAAATTTCACCCAGATTGACTTTCTATTTTGCAAGAAGCTTGCTCTCCTATTGAGTTTTGCGCAATGATAAGGAACCTGGCATGGATACTGTGCGTCCTAGCGTGTCCATAGGTTTTAAATTAAAAAAGCGAAAGTCTTTAAAGTGAGGTTCTTGTGCCATACCACCTTCCTTCCAGTCTACACTGCTTCATATATTTAAAAAGTAACCCTGGACTTCTGACTTGTTCGTCATAAAAATGCTCATCAGGGCTGCCCTGGCAGATGATCAGGTGGGACTGACTCTGCTTGATCTCTGATCCTCATATTATGAGACCAGTGCCTGGTCATTTTGTCATGTGGAAAAATGGCAGTTCCTCCACATGATAAATGGTTAAAGGATGAAAAGTGACAGTTCATAGATCAAGAAACTGGAGTACTGAATCTCGCCAACACAGCATGCAACATTTGTCCTCTTTTCCACCCCTATGTCCTTCTTGGCTGTATAATCTTTGTTATGTTACTGTAAGGCAGGGGTCTCAAAACTTTTAAAATAAAGGGCCAATCTAAGGTTCTTTAGACTT